TTGACTACGGAGAACAGAAGGAGAATTGACGCCCCTGAGCTGTGGTGCTGGAGAAGAGAACTGAGAGTACCATGGACTGCTAGGAAAACAAACAGATTCATCCTGGAAAGGGTTAAACCGGGCAGCTCCTTGGAGGGCCACAATCCTTCTTATAGAGTCTAGCTTCTCAGATAATTTTCTCAGCATAAAGATTGAATAGGTTTGGACTGTTGAGAGGCTAAATCTAAAGGAAAACAGGTTGAAGTGAAAGAGCTGAACAGATGATTTCGAAGGGCAGCTCAGGAGGACAAAGCAAAGTATTATAATGGAATGTGCAGAGAGCTGGAATTGGAGAATAAAAAGGGAAGAACTCACTCTGAATTTCTCAAGCTGAGAGAACTGCAAAACAAATTTAAGCTTCATGTCACAATATTGAAAGATGCTATGGAAAATATATTGAATGACTCAGAAAGTATCAAAAAGATGATGGAGGGAATACACAGAGTTATTGAACCAGATTAAATTGACACTGAAAAATTTCAGGAAGTACCATATGATCAGGAGCCAATGGTAATGAAGAAGGAAGTAAAAGCTGCATTGAAGGCATTGGCAAAAAAATAAGGACCTAGGAATTGATGTGATACCAATTGACTTGTTTCAATTAACAGATGCAGCCAAGGATGCTCTCACCAGTCTATGCCAGGAAATTTGGAGGTTGGCTATCTGGCCAATAGATTGGAAAAGATACATATTTGTTCCCATTCCCAAGAAAGGTGATCCAACTGAAGGTGAAAATTATAGAACAATATGATAGATATCACATGCAAGCAAAATAATGCTGAAGATCATTCACAAATGGCTGGAACAGTACATAGATAAGGGACTTCCAGAAGTTCAAGCAGGATTTAGAACCACCAGCTGCTCCGTGAGAGGATGGGCAATCTCCTTCCATGCGATTAATTACCTCTGAAAACCTTCCAAGAGGTTCAGCTATGGTTTGGATCCAACTTGACAGTATACAATAGTGTAACTTGTAAAGATGACATAACTGGTAAGTGATAGAGGAGTTAAGAGCCAATCCCAAACCTGTCTGATGCCAGGACCCATGGTCTTAATTACTATTCAAGTAAGTTCTGAAAGAGCTGCAGGATTCAAATAAAACCAGTTCTTCTCCCTCTTATTTCTTCCTTCACTTCATACTTAGGTCTCTAAGAATCAGAAATTTATATTGAGGCACAAGAGCAAAACATGTTTCTATATCAAAGTTCAGTTACAAAACCAGAAACTGCCTAAGATTTTAAATCAGATGAACTCCAATCCTGGGAAATCATAGAAGCTGTGGAATCATAAGGGCAGTGAGGTCCTCAGAGTCTGATATCAACAGGAAGTGGCTACTATCCTTTGCTGAAGGAATCTAAAACCAGGGCCAGTGAGGAGGGTGTCTCTGCAAACCAGAGAGAATGCCTTCATCTTTAACCGTCCTTTATTTGCAGCTGACACTGAACCTGTAAGAGATGTCCCTTAAGAAACTGAGAAAACAATGGTGAGGAATGCATAGAAGAACTAATAAGTCAAGAATCTATAAACATATCATTAATATAGCTCAGTTTTACCCAAACAATAAATAAACAATAAAAGAAATGTCATGTCTGAACAAGCAAAGTATTTTTAAGAGATTATACAATGGTTACGGTTAGGGGTTTGGGTTAGAGGGTTAGGGTTAGGGTTTGGGTTATGGTTATGGTTATGGTTAGGCTTAGGTTTAGAGTTAGGGGGTTAGGGTTAGAGTTAGGGTTAGGGTTTGGGTTAGAGTTAGGGTTTGGGTTATGGTTATGGTTATGGTTATGGTTATGGTTATGTTTAGTTTTAGAGTTAGAGGATTAGGGTTAGGGTTAGAGTTAGAGGTTAGGGTTAGAGTTTGGGTTATGGTTAGGTTTAGGTTTAGAGTTAGAGGGTTAGGGTTAGGGTAGGGTTAGGATTAGATTAGGGCTTGGGTTAGGGTTTGGTTAGGGTAAGGTTAAGGTTAGTTTTTCAGTTAGGGTTAGAAGATTAAGGTTAAGGTTAGGGTTAGGCTTAGGGTTAGTTTTAGGGTTAGAGTGTTAGGGTTATTTTAAGGTTAGGGTTAGTGTTAAAGTTAGTGATAAGGTTAGGGTTAGTGTTGGGTTAGGGTTAAGGTTAGGGTTAGGGTTAGGTTTAGCTTTAGCTTTAGTGTTAGGGGGGGTAGTGTTAAGTGTCATCGAGTTGTAGGCGATTCATGAACAAAAGACCTGAATACTAGTATAACTTTCATCGTTTCTCCATGTTCATAGGGTTTCCAGAGGCAAGCTACTTCGGAAGTGGCTACCACTCCTTCTGTCAAGCTTATTTGAATTGAGAAGCTCCACCAAACACTGTCCATCATGGGTAACCATTATCACATTTGACATATCAGTGTCACAGTGTTCAGCATCACAGCAACAAGTTACCTCTGTATAGCAAGTAGACAGACCAGGGCTATATGACCCAGAAGAATGTTTGACCAAAAACAATTAAGAACAGGTCTGAGGGCCACAGGCCTGAGGTTCCTACTGAATTTAAGAACCAGAATGGTTCAAACTCCGTGAGCTCCTTCATTCCAAATTCCTCCATAATCATGCATTCTTATTGGCTCTCATCACCGAAAACCACCCATCTTGGAACATTCCGCTGCTTTTTCAATCTCCTACTACTCTGCCTTATGTTTCTTCATAGAGTAAAACTTCTTTAATTATTTGTCCATCGTATAAACTGAGTACACATGAGGGAAGGATACATATATAAACAGAAGATGAACAAAGGCCTGAAGCCTTTCTAAAACTATCATCAGTTCTCCAAGTTTTTAGACTTTACATAGGCATGTAGTTTAGGAAATAGATGCCAGTCCTGCTTCCAAACCTGAATCAGTCTTGGAGCGCCAAAAAACACTGCCCATGATGGGTAGCCAATTATGGTGTTTGACACACCTATGGCCCAGTTGTCTATCTTCACAGCAACTCTATGTTATTTCAGTAGAATAAATAGAGAAGCCATCCTAAGGTCCTGTTTGAACCGAGATTCACAACACATTAGCCCTCGGCCTGCAGGTGTGGCCCAACATTTCAGTATTTTAATATTCTGGCATGCTCAAATGCTGTGGACTCTGGGCCAGAGACCCCCAATTCATCTGGCAAGTCTCCTCTGCTGACACCCACCTGGGATGAAAAGAAAGTCATAAGAGCCCTGAGCATTTCATATGTGTCCCTTCTCAAGACATGACAGGCCATCTTAATGTCCAGGTAATTTAAAAGGCTTGACTTGGGTTGGCAGCATAACTCTTTACCACTAGGCTACTGGAGCTCCCAGCTTTTAGCCCTTCTGTGGGTCAAACGGTTAATATACTTGGTTGCTGATATTTGACGTTGTTGTTGTTGCTGTTGGTTGCCATTGAGTTGAGGTAGACTTATAAGCCCTAATGCCTTTCCATAGCTATTGTTATTTCTCCAAATTCATAATGTTTTCAGAGGCATGTGATTTTTAGAAAGTGGGTGCCACTCCTGCTTCTATCCCTGATTTACAACTAGGAGCTCCACCAAACACTGTCCACAATGGGAAACTATTATGGTATTTGATGTAACAGTCAGTCCTCTTTGCAAGGAAGGTATTAGATTTAGTAGCGCATGTACCATGCAACAGCACTACCAGCCCTCCTAACACACTGCAGGTAAAGTACTTGGGTGCAGATCATCCGGTAGCTGGAGTATGTTTATGCATTCCTGTCTCAATTTTCATGAAGGTATTCTCCCATGTTTCAAAAGTGGGTGGCCCTTGAGGCTTAGACTAAGGGTAAGTGTGGAGGCCTGCTTGAGGGCATGGCTTTAAAATCCTGAAGGGCCCAAGGGCCATAGGCCCTCAGGCCAAATTTATTAATTTTAGATAATATTCTTTAAAAGACACAGCAATCATTTGTCTATTTGCTTTACTGAACAACTTGCAGTTGCTGTGATGCTGAACACTGTTCCATAGCCATGTCAAATACCATAAAGGTTACCCATTATGTAAAATGGTTAGATGAGCTTCAGATTGATTCATTTTGGGGAAGAAGGACTGGTATCCAATTCCTAAACTAGATGCCCCTAGAAATTCTACAAACTCTCATAAATGTACAGAAATTATGTTAGGTGTAGAACAGAGTTCAGGTCTTTTGTGCAAAGCTTACTCTGAGTCATAGTCAACTCGACAACACTTAACCACTGTTAAATGAGACTAGTGCTATTATATTTGTAGGAACATTCATCCACTTTGCACATCATTCTGCATCAGTGTTAGGGTTAGGGTTGGGGGGGGGAAGGGGAAAAAAGAAATTGGACAATGAATAAGGACTAAAGAAGAATCAATGCCATTGAGTTGTGGTGTTGGGGAAAGAGTACTGAATATCCCATGGTCTGTCAAATGAGCAAATATGTCTTTCAGAAAGTGCAGCCGGAATGCTACTTTGAGACAATGGTAGTGAAGATTCATATCTCATGTTTTGGGCACATTGCTAGAAGCAGCTTTTCCTTGGAACAGGACATCATGCCTCAACAAAATGGATTGACACGGTGACCACAGCAATGAGCTTGAGTATATCAGATATGATGAGGATGCCACAGGATAGGGCAGAGTTCAGATCCATTGTTCATATGGTCATTATGAGTCATAGTCAATTTGACAGTACCTAACAACAAGGCTTTATCATAGTAAAAATTTTCACCTCTTTTCACAATTTATTTTTTGTACTTTTAAAAAGAATTTTTTCTTTTGCCTATTTTAAAATATTAAAAATGTTTTACAATAGTAAACAAGCCACCCTTATCTAAGTTAACATGTTGTTGTTATGTGTCGTCGAGTCGTTTGCGACTCATAGCGACCCAAAGCACAACAGCCCTAAACCCTGCTCTATCCTGTGCCAATCGCACTGCCTCCGACACACCCATCCCGGTTACCCCAGTCACCGAATACTTGAAAGTTCTACCTAGGTTGCCAACTCGGATCCGGCCGCCGTGAAGTTTGGATGGGTCAAGAAAGCCGTCGCCAACGCTGTTCAGAAGGAAGTAAAATCTCTTTGTGGCTTGGAAACCTCTCAGGTTCCTGCAGAGGAAGCTCTTTCTGGAGCCGGTGAGCCCTGTGACATCATTGACAGCAGTGATGAAATGGATGCCCAGGAGGAGAGTATTTATGAGAGAACTGTTAGCAGAAAAAAGAAAAGCAAGAGGCACAGAGAAGATGTAGACACGGCGGGAGGAGAAGAGTATCCCATGGATATTTGGCTCTTGCTGGCTTCCTACATCCGTCCTGAGGACATTGTGAATTTTTCCCTGATCTGTAAGAATTCCTGGACTGTCACTTGCACTGCTGCCTTTTGGACCAGATTGTATCGAAGGCACTACACGCTGGATGCCTCTTTGCCCTTGTGCCTGCGACCAGAATCAATGGAGAAGCTGCGTCTCCGGGCATGTGTGATCCGATCTCTGTATCATAAGTATGAGCCATTTGCTGCTCGAATCTCCAAGAATCCAGCCATTCCAGAAAGCACTCCCAACACACTAAAGAATTCCAAATGCTTACTTCTCTGGTGCCGAAAGATTGTTGGGAATAGAAAGGAACCAATGTGGGAATTCAAGTTCAAAAAACAGCCCCCTAGGTTAAAGAACAAGTGTATGGGAGGATTGCAGCCTCCCATTCAGTATGAAGAGGTTCATACCAACCCAGACCAGGACTGCTGCCTCCTGCAGGTCACCACCCTCAATTTCATCTTTATTCCAATAGTCATGGGAATGATATTTACGCTGCTTTCTATCCACGGACATGCGACACCATCGAGTGAGACTAGTGTTCCAGGATTCTCCTATCCACGGTGGTCGGAAACGTCTCAGCGAACAGGGCGTACAAGTCATCCTGGACCCTGTGCACAGTGTTCTATCCACGGACATGCGACACCATCGAGTGAGACTAGTGTTCCAGGATTCTCCTATCCACGGTGGTCGGAAACTTCTCAGCGAACAGGGCGTACAAGTCATCCTGGACCCTGTGCACAGTGTTCGGCTCTATCCATTCTCCCTGAGAGCATAGTTACTGCTTCCTATCCCTAGGGGCTGCCCTGAGCGAGGCCAGTCCATTAGTAATCAGATTCCAGGTTGGCAGCTGATGGTGCATCTGATTAGTAATGCACATGCTCTTCAGGTTCCAGGGGCTCTGTTAGGGGAAGGAGAGGGATTGAATCAAGAAGAAAATGGACTTTAAAAACATATTTTCATGTAAAACTTGCATTTAAAAGGAGAAACCTGGTCCTGCTTTTATGTTAAAACCTCATTTGGTGCTACTGAGTTTGTCATTCTTGTTTCTATCTAAATGGAAATGGATGGTCTTGCTCTAGGTAAAAATTAAATTCTTGCCTCTCTAAACAAGGAAGTTTCAGCATGCATCAGAGGAACCTCAGAGGCCTAAAGTTGTTGCTATTTTTGCTTCCAATTTAGCAGCCCTTCAGACCCAAGTGAGTCTCCCTACATCCTTCTCCAGAAATAAAGTAGGTGATAGAATTGTCAGAATCTTAAAAAAAAAATTCGTATTTTTTTCCATTGTTGCACATTTTCTCTCCCTTTACCGCCTCTCAGTCCACTCCACAATACTGCCCTTGTTCCACAGTGTTGTCATACATATAATGCCTAATCGTACATTTCTTTTGGACAGTTCTTCCCCTCTAATGTAGTGTTTGTTATCTATCCACTCTTTCACCATTCTCTCTTTAGTCTATCCCATATCTCTCCTATTTTCTAACAGCAGTGTTATGCAGTATTTGTCCTTTTGTGACTGAGATACTTCACTCAGCATAATGTCCTCCAGGCTCCCCTATGTCGTATAATGTTTTCAGTGCTCTGCCACCATTCAAACAAATGTATTCCCACCCATGTTTATTGATGCATTATTTACAATAGCAAAGAGATGGAAGCAACCTAAGTACCCATCAATAAGTGAATGGACAGAAAAACTATAGTACATTCACACAGTAAAATACTACGCAGCACTAAAAATGATGAACCTGTGATTTCTTTACTTCCTTGGTTTTTCTGTCTTGCTAATCATTCCTCAATCTTCTTTGCTGGCTCCTTCTTATCTCCCCATTCTCCAAACACTGGCATGTTTAGAGAGATGGAATTTCTTTCTGTCAATACTCCCACTAGCAATTTGTGTAGCATTGAGTAGGAAGTGACCCTAGCTGACTCACCAATGGGTTTTTAGAGGCAGGAAACTACACAGGAAGAAATTGCCAATCTTTCTCCCAATGAGCAGTTGGTGGATTTGAACCGTGTACCTTTGCTTTGGCAGCACAATCCCTTAGCATTAAGACACCAGAGCTCACTATACCTCACTAGTGTAACTGTTGTTGTGTACTATTGAGTCTGAATCTACTCCTAACTGACCCTCCCCCAAGTATTTGTAGGCAGTAAATCACATGGGAGGAGATTCCCCACCTTTCTCCCATGGAACTTCTGGTGGATTTGAACCACGTGCCTTTTGGGTTACCTCATTAGAGTAGGTGACATAAACGAGTCTTAAGACTTTAAATCCTATTTGGTGATTAAAAAAAAAAACCCCAAAGGTAGTATAGTGGAGTGGACTGGGGCTGGGGGGAGGGATTGAATAACAATGACAGAATTGTTTCTTTTATTTTTCAAAGAGAAAAGTGAATTGGGGGGAGGGTTGGACAGGGAGAAAAGTGCAACAATGAATGACTGGAAATCCAAAGTCTCTGTACACTTTTATTAAAATAAATTAAAAAAAAGAAATTCTTTGACACACCTCTCATTAAGAACATGGATCTATATCCTCTTGCCTTGAATCTAGACCAACCTTAGTAAGTAACTAAATACATGCCACAGAAGTAATTGCTTTAGTTCTGACATGGGCTAAATACAACTCTTCCTTGTCCACCAGAATACTATCACTAAAATCCTGTGCTGCCATGTGAGAAATCCAGCTACCGTCATAAGTTTGACTGCCTCAAGGCTACCATGCCAAAGCCACATAGAGAAAATATGAAGCACCCAGCCAGGAGCTCCAGGTAGCATCAACCACGAGATATATGATAGAAGATGCCTCTATATTATCCCCCACCCCACCCCAACTCTTCCTAGCTGAAGTCACAGTCATTGTAGAGAATTGATAAGTGCTCACTCACCATATAGTATCTCTGAATTTATGACCCACAACATCCATGATCGTAATAAAATTATTATTTTCAGCTTCATCAATTTTAAGGTTATTAGTTATTCATCATGTTGCTGTTGTTAGGGACAATAGAGTTGACTATGACTCATTGTGACACTTTGAACAACAGATCTGAAGCTTGCCCTATCCTGTGACATTCTCACTATCCCTGATAGACTCGAGTCCATTGCCACAGTCCCTGTCTCAATCCACCTTGTTGAGAGTCTTCTCTTTTGCTGACCCTCCACCTTTCTAAGCAGGATGTCTCTTTCCAAGGACTGGCCCCTCCTAATCACATACCCCAAATGATGTGAAATAAATTTTCATCAACTTTGCTTCTAAAGAACACCCTGGTTACACTTTCTCCAAGGCATATTTGTTTGTTCTTTTGGCAGTTTATGGGATATTCAATACTTTTTACCAACCCCCACAACTCAGACATCAATTCTTCACCTGTCATTCTTATTCACTGTCCAACTTTCAGGTGCATAGCAGTAGTTAGAATAGTCCAACAATGCTGGTAACTCCAAAATTTATGTTTTGGGAACTTGAGTCTTATGTTTTTCATTGACTTCTTGACATCTCACTTAAAGGCAAAATGTCCAAAATATTATTTTATCTGCTTCTCATAAAAAATAAAGGAACAGAAATTCCCAATCAAAACCAAACGTTGGCTCTTTGAAAATACTAACAAAATTTATAAGACATTAAAAAAACCCAACCAAATAAACATAAATCACCAATAACAAAAACAAAAGTAGGACAATCACTACTGGTTTCATAGAAATTAAAAGGACAATAATGGAATGTTATGAACAACTTTATGCCAACAGATTTGACAACCTAGGTGAAATAAGCCAATTTTTTGAAAGACAGAACCTACCAAACTCACAAATGAAGGAATTATAGTTACTGCAATAAGACAAGACCATAAAACAAAAATAATGCTGAAAAGAAAGGAAAAATAAAACTGCCATGGTTTGCAAATGACATGATTCTCTACATGTAAAATCGTAAAAAATAACAACAAAATTCTGCAACAAATACAATTATAAAAATCTTGAAGGATAAAAGGATATAAAGTAGAGTTAATTGCATTCTCATATGCCAATAAAGAATAATTAGAATGTACAGTAAAAAACATAATATTACTTACCTCTTAATACTTAAGTTTGTTGTTGGGTGTCCTTGAGTTGACTACAACCCTTAGTGATCTTATGAACAACAGATCTGAGATTTACCTTGTCCTGAATCACCCTCACAATCTCTATGGACAAGAGCTGAAATCTATGAGATATAAAACAGAAAAACAATTGAAAACATCAATAAGGCCAGAAGCTGGTTTTTCAAGAGTGTCAATAAAATTAACGAACTACTGGTAAGCTTACCAAAAGGGGAAAAAAGAGAAGACACAGATAACTCAAATTAAGAAGTGACATTGCAGCAGAATCAGATGGAATTAAGTTGATAATATCAGATACATTTAAAAAATCTGATACATTTTAAAAAATCTAGATTTCAGCTCTTGTCCTTATAATTTCCTTTATTCTAGCGACTGCAGGATAGATGGTTGTTCTTTTTCTATTTGATGAAGGCATTGAGTGAGATCATTGATTTTTCTTCTTCCTTCCCCCTTCTTCCTTTTTTTATGTGTGTGCCTATTGCTATGAACTGCTGAGGACTGCTTTAGCTGCATCCCAGAAATTTTGGTATGTTGTATTTTCATTTTCATTTGTTTCCAGAAACTTTTAAATTTCATTCTTTATTTCTTTTATAATCCAATCATGTTCTAGCAGAGAGTTATTTAGCTTCCACATGGGTGGCTTTGTTAACTTTAGCCTCCTATGGTTAATTTCTAGTTTTATGGCATTGTGGTCTGAGAAGATACTTTTATTATTTGAATATTTTTTAATTTATTGAGGCTTGCTTTTTGTCCTAATATATGATCGATTCTGAAGAATGTACCGTGTGCACTTGAGAAGACACTGAATTGAGTTTTAGTTAGGTGCTGTACCCTGAATACATCCACAAGGTCTAATTGGCTGATTATATAGTTTAGATCTTCTGCATCTTTGTTAAGTCTATTTTGAGTTGACTTATTCTTTGGTGATAGTGGTGTGTTGAAGTCTCCTACCACTATTGTGCTATTTCTTTCTTCAATTCTGTTAACCATTGTTTTAAGTATTTTGCAGGTCTATCATTTGATGCATAAATGCTAACCAAGGTTATGTCTTTTTTTATCTATTGTACCTTTTATCAGTATGTAATACCCTTTCTTATGTTCTATGGTGGTTTTCATTCTGAAGTCTATTTTATCAGAGGTTATTATTGGCATGGCTGCTTCCCCCCCCCTTTTATACTTGGTTTACGTATCAAGTTCATAACGTTTGTATACATTGGGGTTTTTTCCCATACTGGATCTTTCCCATTTCCTTATAACCTATCCCTCCCTCCACACATCAGATTGTGTGATCCTATGATGAAGCCCCCCTCCCCTCCTTGTATCCTCATACTTGCTCTATAATAATGGTCTTATACAGTATTTGTCTTTATGAGACTGAGTTCTCTCAGCATAATGCTCTCCAGTCTTGGGCAGTAATTTACAAAGCCATTCCTCCTGCATGCTACATAGTATTCCATTGTGTGAATGTACCATAATTTCTTAATCATTCCATTATGGTTGAGCATTTGGGCTGTTTCCATGTTCTTGCTGTGGTGAATAACACTGCTATGAGCATTGGTGTACAAGTTACTGTTTGTGCCTCAGTTCTCTTTTTCTCAGGATATAATTCAAGCAGTGGAATAACTGGGACATATGGAATCTCTATGTTCAGCTTTTTGAGGAAATGCCAAACACCCTTCCA